AAACGGTTCATTATCTTCAAAGATAGTCTATGTGAACGGTTGTTATTACTTTTCACCTTTTTTACCATATTATACATTAAAAAAGCAGGCTAGGTCAGGCAACATAAACACAATATTCATTCACTAGGGCTAAATGGTTGTCCATCATTCAATACAAAACCCAGCTATAGAACATGCTGAAAAATCAATCATATCTATACAGCACCATGTTGTAACCAGGTCCCCTGACTCAGCTATTGTAGTATGAACAAGGGCTTAATAATGCATTGTAACTGTGACTTGGGCTCTGTGTGTTTATCTATCTTTTCCTTTCCATTTCCTTTTTTGGAATACAAAGCCCCTGGTGATAATTGTGTCTCAAGTGGGATGAGCATAGAGGACTTCGGTACAAGTTCTTTTCTCCTAGGAACATATTTAATTTATTTCAAAATGAATGAGAACATCATACTTTTATAATAAAGAGTAAGATTATGTCTTAAATCTTTGTGAAAATTACATGCACCACTAAAGCCAATGTGGTTTATTGAGATCCAGCTGGGGATTGTATATCTAGACGCATAGTTCAAAATGCCAAACCACTAGCTAGGTTTAGAAAATATACTAGGCAAGAAGGTGGGGTGAGGGCGTGGAAATCACTTACTCTTATTATTTGCACTGTATGAAGAACGTCTATTGCAACACAAAAATCTGAGTGTATTTTTTGGCTTCTCTGTTTATTTCTTCAAATACAATTGTCAATACTTTGAAGCCTTACCACTTATTTATGTACTCAAATATGAATTTAGGAAGGAAAATCCACATTTGGGTTTCTGCAGTTGAAAATCTTTCATATTATATTTAGTCTTCTAAACCTTTATGAACTTTTAACAAAAATTTGCTGTTTATTTCAGCATTTAAAAGCAAGTGATCGTTTTAAGCAAGTGTTAATTTAAATACTTCCTTTCTCCTTGAGAAGAATGAAGTTCATTTTCTAAATACATGACAATATTATTTAACAGTCAGGAAGTTCTTGCAGCACATTCATTTACTCTGAATTAGATGACAAAACAAAGAAATCCTCCTAATACTTTCCATCTTCTTATACAATTTCTAAGGAACTGATGGTTATTTGTCTCATCAATTTAAAGTTGCCTGCACCAAGTATGTTTCCTAGCAGTGGTCCCAATCCTAATCCTTATTTAGAGGCAGTTGCTATTTACACAAGTCAATTCACTGACTCCACTAGGATGACTCAGCTGATGAATAAAGATTCAGTCTGGATTAGGCCAAACCATGTTTTAAAGTTCTTTAGATGGAGTCAGACCCCTACACCTAACTTGTTTTTCTTTTTTTAAGACGCAGAAGGATAAAATCTGTTACCTCTATCTAGGCTCCAGCATCTATCAAGAGCACAAAAACAAGAGGCAGACTACATGGCAAATACCCTTTGTGTTCCCAGATGAAAGTTAGATAGTCAATATCTCTAACTTAGATAGCCAATGTCTCCAAGTTGTAGGGAGAACAACCTTTTCACTGCACTGGACACAGAAGACATGGCTTTAGCATTTACGATCTGAAAGACTAATTTATTGCTGTAAACAATGCGTGAAGAGAGTCAGAAACATAAGATGGACCAAGGACAGAAAGAAACATTAGTTCAATTATCTCATGACCTTTTAGCAGGACCAGCCAGTCTCCTATCCTGCATACTGAGTTACTATAGGAACAAGTTAAACACCTGTGGGTCCTGCAACTACAGAGATCTCTCAATTAAAACAGGACTTAGAGTGGGTGCTTTTAATTTTAAATCTCAGGGAAGGTGAGAGATGCCATATTCTAATGATGCCATATGATCTTAGGAGAACCCAAGCTGCAAGTCCCCTATTTTAAACCTTAAAAAGTACTTGCAACTTTAACTACTGCTTTAAATCAGAATTCTGGCTGAATGATACTGAACATAAATCATTTGCATGTTATAGTGATAGGGATACATTTATTTCTCCAAGACTGCTTACTATTAGTTTCTCCTTTAATTTCCTAGGGTTTTGTCTATATTCAGGAATAGCTCCATCTCTGTAATCAGTTTAGCTTGAAGTAGGGGTAAACCTAGGTTAATTCAACTGGTACATCCTACTAACTTGCATATTCTACTAACAGAGTCAGTATGAGTGCAGCTAGACTGTTTTTTAATTATTGATGGCTGCATTGGGAGTGTTCACAAATATGAGCAGCAGAACAAGTTGGTTTTAGTGCTGTTGCATGTAAAGGGACATGCTCAAGTCCATAAACCAAGTTTAGGAGTTGTTCATTGCTATATTGGGAACAATACCTACAAGAGATATAGGATATGCCAGGTGAAGTTTTTTTCAGTTGGGTTCACTACACCACCTCCCCAAATGAACAAGCTTTGCTGGCAGAATCTCTTCTGTTGGACGGAATGGCTGCATCCAGATGAGGGCAGGGATGCTGTTGAGGAGAGGCATAGAAATCATAGCATCGTAGAAATTTAGGGTTGGAAGGAACTTCAGGAGGTCATCTAGTCCAACCCCCTGCTCAAAGTAGGACCATCCCCAACTAGATCATCCCAGCCAGGGCTTTGTCAACCCAAGTCTTAGAAACCTCCAAGGATGGAGATTCTACCACCTCTCTAGGTAATCTGGTCCAGTGCTTCACTATCCTCTTAGTGAGAAGGTTTTTCCTAATATCCAAATTAAGCTTCTCTTGCTGCAACTTGAGACCATTACTTTTTGTTCTGTCATCTGCCACCACTGAGAACATAGTTCTCAGGCACAGTTCCACCAATTGGGGCAAGTGATATTTTCACGCTCCTAGCTATGCAAGTAAAAAACTATGGAGTATACATGAGTAGGAGCCAACCTTTTTGGCAGGCATGCTACAAATTTAGCCCCACACCTTCCCCTAGTGCTACTCTGATACCTTTCCCTTACCCGATCCTCTGCTCAGCTTTTAGTTCCTTGCGCCATGCTCCTTGACCAAGCTGCTGCTCTGCTTTCTATCCCATGCCCATTCTGCCACTGTGCTGCCTGTCACCTCCCCAATCTCACATGCTACACACAGGCAGACTGTGCAACTTGTGGTACCTGTGCTGCAGGTTGGCCACCCCTGCTGTACATTAAACCTCAGGCTGGGTATAAACATGTCTCCCACATCTGAGCTGTTTTAGTCTTGTGGATGCACACAGCCCATGGAAACAAACTAGAATTATGTCAGTGATGATGGCAGGCTCCATGATCACTTCTCTCTATCAAGATAAATACCCTTTTAGAGAAGAGACTACTGTCTGAAGCCATGCAATAGGCAGGGTAGAGGTGCACTTTACAGACTCATTGAGTCAAAGATGCATAAGCTTTTATGAGCAACAGCTTGCTTCTACCCTTACAGGAAGCAATGCAAACAGACCAAACCAGATGCCTGAAGCTTAGGAAGGAAACTCCACACCTTCAGACGTTGTTTCAAATGCCCAAAAGGCCTGCTTTACCAGTAAGATCACTGTTATACTTGTCTGCTTTACAATCCTACATACATTACAAAACTTGTGCCAGCCTACCTCTATCTCCAGAGCCCCCCAGTGGAGACAGAATATTTAACAACAGAAGGATTTTCTGCTATCCTATCTATACCATCTTCCTGAAAAACATTTATTTATTTACAGCCCCTCCTATCCAAAAGTCTCAGGTCAGCATAGTGAGCCCCAAAAATCACTGTCCACATACCTGTGTCTACACCAAGGTTTTTCTTCTCATTCCTAGCCTACATAGCCATGCCAGCAGAATTTTATCCTGCAGACTAGAACCTAGTGAAGACAAAGTGCAGAAAGACTTTATTGCAGCAATTCTCAAGCTAAGGGTCACAACCCAAATGAGGTAGCATAGATGAGGGGGTCACAAACCCCACATAAATTCATTTATAGTAGTTAGACAAGGTTCCTTGGATGAATTTGATATCTTTTATTAGACCAACCCAAATAGTTGGAGAAAAGTTATTAAGCAAGCTTTCGGGTTCAAAAACCCTTCATCAGGCTAAGGAAGTTTCAGCAGTTGGTGTGTGCTCAGTAGTTAGACTCACACTGCAAGCAGGGCAGTGAGCCAACTGAAAGCATGGCAATGGGGTCATCTTTTGAAGACTGGGGACTGGTGCTGTATTGCAATTTGGCTAAGCAAGGTCTCCGCTCTTACTACATTACTTAGCTGAGCCCATTGAAGTAAAAGTTACTGAACTTTCTCTCCATTATGGCTTTACAGCAGTTAACTCACGTTGGTTATCCATCTGCCTAGTAGGTTTTTTTTGGCCTTTGAAGACTGGCCTACCACCTATCTTTTGGGGAAAAGTTCAAGCAGCAACAAGGAGTGCTCCAAGAAGAACTGTGAGGTGGAAGTCATTACTTCCTTTCCCCAAGCTGATGCTTCCAATTTCCCTTGGACAGCAAGACTTCTTTGTCCCACAATACACAGTAGCAATAACCTATGCATGCTGTTTCCCTGTGTGTACTACTGCCCTCAAGTCAATTTGAGTCAACAACATGATTCCATGCTGCCAGTCTGGTTGCAAGCTAATTGCAAGGGTGGTGGGAAGACACAGACCATGGAAGAGTCCCAGGGTTTGGATCCAACCTGCAAGAAGCCCCATGAGTTTGACACCCATGGTCTAGACATACCTGTTTATGAGAATGGGGATAGACTCAACCTCTTGAGGTTCCTTCCACTCCTCCATTTCCAGGATTCAAACTAGAAGCAATTTGGACAAGGAGAATAGAAATGATAGAAGGACCGAGTGAGTGGCTTTAGCCCTGAAGCAAAATTAAAGGCTCTAATGATGATCCTAATATTGAGGACTCCTGAAAATATATACAAAACCAGAGTCAAATTAATGTATTTTTATCAATTTTTAGAACCTAGGTATTAACAAGTTTTGTATAATTAGAGGTTCATAAGATTGTGGATTTACTTATATTTTTAGTTTAGAAGTGGGTAAAGGTGGAGAGGAAAACATGCTTATAGACCATGTATTTAAATGTCATACAGGCCCAGATCCTTCCTTTGGGTGGAAAAAAGCAAGCTATGGGGAAGAAAATCTCAGTAAGCTTTTCTTTACATGGATTGGGCTGTGAGGTATACAGATTGCCTTAGTGTGGGCTGCATTAGCAGTTCTTCAGAATCTCACCAGTACCAGAGGGGAATGATTAGTTTGTCCCCAGTCTGTGTTGGAATCCCTTCCCCTTAAAGGTCAAGGTCAACAGTGCAGCACAGCGAGAGAGAACCAAGTGAACTTAACTATTTATTAGAATACCCCAATAATAATTTAGCAATAAATCAGGCTGTAGAGCATGGTAAGTAAAGTAAGCTATTTTACCAGACTAACAGGCCTGGCGAGGGGAACAGTCCACAAACCCTTTTGTTCTTGGTTCTGACACCTTCCCAAACCACTCTAAACTTTATTTTAAATCTCTTTACCACAACTAAAACATGACCTGTATATCCCCTTTTATCATACTGGGTTAACAAAAGCACACTTATCATTTCAGTAGGAGTCTAGCTTGTAGTGATGTTAGGGTCAATGAATCAGGCATGAATGAGAACTAAACAGCAAGGTTTAATGTGGAGCAGTTAACAAGCTTCTGTAGCCTCCCTAATGATCAGCTTCTCCAACTGAGGGACCATCACCCAGTTCCCCACTCTTCTAAATTAGGAACCATCTCTGAATTATAACTTTTATCACTACATAACTGATTACACAATATTTCTTATCAAAAGGCAAAACATCAGGTTATTACAACTGCTATTTTTAGCTATTACTAGCACTTTCCAACCCCCCAAATTACATGTACAGGATTGATGGCAGGTGGAGATAGCCATAGAGAATGCAAAAATATCCTTTAGTGTGGATGAAAGTCAGCCCAGGACACAGAAGTGAGATGTTAGAGTACAGTACTACAGAAGGGCATACCGGGGAGTGATGAGGTAAAATGAAGAAAGAAAAAAAAAAAATCTGCTGTAGATATACAAAAGACTGCCTAGTACAAAGATTGTACTAGGCAATACTATAATGTCTTTTACATGAAGCAATAGAAATCACGGGAGCACAGAAATTACATAATGCACAGAAGTTGCATCACTTAAAATATTAGACAAGATGCAGCAAACTATAATAAAACCTATTACAGACTAGGTATCACCCACTAAGTCTCTCCCATTTGCCATCCCGTGGTGTAATAAAGCCTAAATGTAATGACCAGCAGGAGCTACCTGCAGCCCATGCAGGAGGGCAGATCACCCAGGATGCTGTACCGGGGAAGGGAGGGGGGAGGAAGCGTGTCCGTGTTGAGGGAAGAGCACGGTGCAAGTCACCCGCGAGACCCCTTCTCCACAACCCTTCCTGCCTGAACACATTTATAATAGAGCGACAGTGTCGTCGCAGCTGTGGCGGCCCAGGTGCAGGGAAGATGAGACTCCAGTGTTGCTTGGGCCAGCTGCAGCCTCCAGCTCGCAAAAAACCCCTTCCGCCGGGCAGGGAAGGGGCAGAGGTATCAGCGCTTCTCAGCGCTTCGGGGAGGAGGCCGCCTCTGCAGCACGCCAGCTGCTCGCTCTGCTCTCCGCGCTTGAGGACAACGCGGGACTGCGCTATGGGCAGACCCGAGCCTGACAGCGCTCGCCCCGGGCTTATAATACAAGGATGCGTGCTGCGGCCCGGGCCGGCTGGGCGAGCTCTGCTTAGCTCCGCCACACACCTGGGGTGAGGGCGGAGTCTCGGCTCCCTCCGGCCGCCGTTCTCTCCCCCCCACGAAGACATGGTACCGCCCCGGCCGC